GATACAATCGTATTAAATATCAACAATATTTTAGACTAACATGTCACTAAATATTGATCTAGGTGCTCCCTGAAATATTGACAGAAATGGAAAGAATTGAAAGTCAGGTGATGAATCCATCCCACCAAACCAGCAACAACGTACCAAGTTAATAGTCAAAAGTGTACAGTGGGAACTGGCAAAAATTGACGAAGATGGATCCTGAGAAACAGTAAAATAATTCTTGTGACTGGCTACTTGAGAAATGACCAGGATAAACTTGACCTAATTCATCAATTTCTAACTTTAATATTTATAATAGTAAATAAACGAGAATGTGAGATGGAGCCACTTACTTGCAAGAAAGAATTTTTTTCAAAATAAAGGGATTAAGAGCTACTAGATCATGACACAATAGAATACAAAGCATCAAAATGGTATTACATATCTTTGTGACAGACTTGTGTTTCACTTGTCTGTATGCACAGGCTCATGGTCCTCTATTCTATGTCACAGTGTGAAATATATTTCGTATATTGGCCCTTAGATAGAAAATTTGGATGAAAAATGATGAAACAACATGCATGAAAGCACTCGAATGGGGGTAGTAAGGACCTGGTTCAGCAAATAAAACATGGATTTACCATTCTGATTTCATGTTAATTTTATTTTTAAAATAATAGAGGACATCTGTGCATGTTCATTGATATTAACAAATGTAATAGTGGTTAAAGAGAAAATGACAATTTAATAGAGAAGGTAAAGTAATTAACTAGAGAACATCCCAAGGGATAGAGGATTTAATTAGTTACATTGGCAGTTAGATTTAGAAAGCCAAAGAGACATTGCTATTCATATGTACTTTAAAATAAAATGTTAAATTGATGATTTGTAAAATTTTCACTAACCATAGGAATTATTTACATAATTCTCATTTATTCGTAGTAAAATTATCAGGTTTTATTCTTTATAGAAATTTCAAGCTCAGAAAAAACCTTGAGCAGAGGTGGGGAACATGGCTTGGGGATAGAGTATTTACTGAGCAGAGAAGATGGATAAAACAAAGAGAAAAGAGAATATGCAAAGAGAGTTCTTAAACATCTTTCCCCCCAGCCTCAATTTTTTTCTATTATTAATCTCTTACATTAGTACTGTATAGTTGTTAGAATTCATTACTGACAAAATATTTAACTAGCTTCTACAGTTGGCATTAAGGTTCATTTTTTTGGTTGCATATCCCATGGGTTTTGAAAAATGTAGTATGGTGCATATTTCATTACAATAGCACACACAATAGTTTCACTAACTCTGCTATTCCTGTACTTCACTTATTCTTCCTGTTCTGCCTTCACATAATCCCTGGCAACAAAAGTTTTGTTAAACTTTTGTTTAACTTTACTTTTTTTACTTTTTCCAGGATGTATTATTATAAGAATTATAAAGAGTGCAGCCTTTGTTAGTCATTTAAGGTTTCAACATATCTTTTCATTGCCTGAGAGCCCTTTACTATTACTGAATAATATTCCATTTTATGGATATACCACAAGTCTGCTTATCCATTCTCTTGTTTAGGCACATCTTGATTGCTTCCAAGTTTTAACTATTATGAAAGAAAGCTGCTGTAAACATTGAATGCAGTTCTTAAGGTGAACATACCTTTACTCTCATTTGGGTATACACCAAGGGGTACAGTTGTTGTATCTTATGGTAAGAAGATGTTTGGTGTTGTTCAAAACCACTAAAGCATATTGCAAAATGGTTCTGTCATTCTTCATTTTTAACATAAATTTATTAGAGTTTTTGTTATTCCACATCCTCAACAGCTTTGGTGCTGTCAGGGTTTCAGAGTATCTTATTGTTAGGCGTATGTTGTTGATTTATTTGGCAATTCACTCAGGACATCTGATATTGTGTATCTTTCACATGCTTATGTTCCATTTATATTCCATTTTCTTTTGTGAATTATCCATTCAGATCTTTTGCCCATTCTCTTCTGAGTCACTGTTTTGCTGAACTTTAAGAATTCTTTGTGCATTTGAATAACAGGTCTTTCTCATATATGTCTTTAGCTATCTTTTCTCCTAGGCTGAGGCTTATGTTTCATTTTCTCAACAGTGTCCCTCATAGACTAGAATTTTAATTTTGGTGAAGTCTAGGCTGATTTTTTTCTTCATTCACTGTACTTCTGATGTTGCACTTCTCAAAATTTGTGGACAAATACGGGATCAACCAGATTTTTCTCCAGTATTATTTTCAAGGAATTCTATACTTTTTTATTTTTCATTTAAATATTTAACCCATTATTAGTTGTCTTTTCTGAAAGGTGCAAAGTTTGAGTCTTGATTCATTTTCTGCCAGTGCATGTGCATTTATTGCATTATTTGATATAGGCTTTTCTTCCTGAATTGTATTTTATTTGTCCATTTACAAAAGATCAGTCTGTTCTTGTTAATCTACTTTTCTATCCCCCAAATTTTATCATGTATCTAGGAAGCATGGAAGAAATATCATATATTAATTAAGAATCTGATGCGAAATGAGGCTTTTACAGGATTGGATTATTTATAGTTTAAACCTTCACTTCATTCTTTTGGTACCTCCAACTGCAACCCCTGGGACTTTATTAGGCCCTCATTCTAGGTAAATTTTGAATTCTATTTCCAGTTTTACTTCTAAGAGATTTCTACATGAAGGATTTCTAAAAGATAACCTTCTAAAAATACTGCTCAATTTATTAGTTTCTCCACAGCCACTTCCCACTCAGGATCTCAGCCTCTTTGGCCAAATATTTTAGAATTGATAAAGTTTTAATGGTGTGCTGTACCACTGAATACCTTGCTGCTAGGCTGTACCATACTACCGACAGATGACTGCTAAGTATTTGAAATAGACCTGAAGTGAAATGTGCCCCGTGCTAAATACACATACTTTTTTGAAGTTACCAAATGTGCAACACATGTAAGAGTTATTAATAAAGTACATGACATTTTGTGTGTATGTGTTGCACATTGAAAAAAAATGTTGGTGAGAAAAAAAGAAGGTATATCAATGTCTGAAACAGTGATCTCTATACTTGAAATATTTAAAAATGTTAATTTTTAAAATTCTACTAAGAATTACACACAAATATTATAATCCAATAAAAATTATTTTTAACAGTTTGCACCTATATGTACAAATGATTCGAATAAGTCATTCTGAAATGATAAAAATGCTTGTCTTGGAGTGATTCTTAACATGCTCAAGGCTTCAGTGCAGTGATAAAATTTAGCTCTGTCCTAAATGAAACAGAACAATATGGAAAAGGAAAACTCTTTTGGTAAAGAAGTTACACAGTTGATAAAAGTGTAAAAGCATGTTAGAGGTTCTTGATTTATTATTAAGTGTAGCTCTTTATCTCATTGGCACTAAAATCATCACCCAGATTTAGGAAATATAAAGCAATATAAAATGGACACTGATGTATAATGAAAGGATTCTTTCATTGAGTGTCTCTGTCCATTTCTATTGCAAAAATCTCAACAGTTGTCTCATCTTAAAATAGATGTTTTACACAGATGATGCAGTATATTTCAAAGTTTTGTAGCATTTTATTTAATGATTTCCACCAGATTTAAAAACTAAAACTAATGATTCTTGAAAGAAGGAGATTCATGTAAGCTTTTTAACATATTGACACTCATTATTAAATGCAATTCAGAAGATAGATAATTTTGTTTGCATTTCATTTTCATTTAAATATGTTGAGATAAGGGAAGAGACAAGTGAATAAAATGATCTCCTTTTTCTTTCATTGGTTTCACTGAGAGATAGTTTGGTTAAATAAATGTGTGGAAATTGTTATACATCATTCAGGGTGAAGTAGGTAATACAAGAATTTTTACTTTTAGTATTTTAATGAAAGTCACATGCCCCCCTTTTTATGAAGTTAATCCTCAAGCCCAAAGATAATTCTTGAATCCCTGTAACTTCCAAAACGAGGAAGTAGGAGTGGAGAGCAAGTAAGAATGTGAGAAGCCAATTTGGATGGACAGAATGAAATTTGATTTGTGTTCAGAAATCAAAGTTATCATCATGGCACCTGGTTCTGCCTTGGAATAATGAGTAGACAGGAGACTATGAAGTAAAATGAAATGTGTTCTTAACATTCAGCAATCAAAGTTTTGTGTTGTGTGGCAGAACATGCTCTTTTCTAAACATCAGTCTTTATCTTTTCTGAATTTCCCTCTCTCTCCTGTAGTTAATAGAGATTATACAGGAAAAGAAAATTAAAGTGGTTTACACATCATAATCACACTGGTAACCCAAGTATATGACTATCAAATAGTCAAACCTCTGTAGAAGGATTATGTTGCCTTGGTTCTCTCCATATGAAGGGTAACCAATGGAGCAAACCACCACGTACAAACACATAGGCAAACCTCACTCGTGTACAAACATCAATTTGCAGAGGCCATGTAATTCTGCTCCTTAATGAGAAAGAAATTCTCTCTTCCACTCACAACATCGTGTACAGAGGCTACCTTGACCCACATAGAAATACAACTTGACATTTTTAGAAAAAATAAATTTCTTGAGTTCTTGTCTCACCTTGAAACCATGCCTCAGGAGTAAACAGACAGCACATAAGAAGCAGACTATTTAAAAATTATATTCTACATAAGAATCGTCTTCCATGGATGATCAGCCCCATCTAAACCAAACTGTACAATAATTTTTATAATTATCTGTAAAGTATATTTATTTACTGTTAGGTAAATGTTGAGGTACAAAGAAACTTTGTATAAGATATTGCTCTATAATCACTGTACAAATGAACGCTTTAAGAAGTTAGGCTTCGCTGTTGCTAACCAACTCCCTGGAGTTGAAAAAAGAAGAGGATTTGCTCTTGTCCTTATGTTTTGTATTTCATAGTAATGAAAGAAACTATACATTATTCAAGTTTTCGAATAAATTTAAGCACAAAGCCTTGGATAGAGTAAGTGTTCATACAATACAAACATGTTTTAATTTTTCACTAGAAAAGCAAGTTGCAATCCTCTGGAAAATACAATAAACTGAACACCACGGAGCACGAAACAAGTGAAAGAGTGACAGAGAAAATAGCAGACAGCATCCAGAAGGACTTATAAGGCAGGGAGAAGACTAAAGGAGACAAAATTGATAAGGACTCCAAAGAAGGTGAAAGTTCCTTGTGAGGGCTGCCCCGAAGGGATCGCTGAACAGCAGAAGAAGCTGCTGCCGGTACGTGTCCTGTATACAAGGTGCTGTCTGGAGACGAAGACCACAAGAAACAGGAATGCATCCTTTCTGGAGGTTTTACTTAGCACTTAGCAAAAAAGACAACCATTTTTTTTAAATATTAGGATCTTTTGCGTTGTATTACCTTTATATAGCAAGCTAAAGCTCCATGTTTTGTGGATAGTGTTAAATGCCGACATTACCATATGTTCACTTTGTGGAATTCTGTCAGCTTGTAAAGAAAGGGCCACAGAAAAGAGACAAATTACAAAATTATAAAGTTTAACATATTTTTTAGATAAATGGGTACATACAAAAATTATATAAATTAGTAGTGGTGCAATTTACACCTTAAATATTAAAAAATAATCATTTAAGGTTCATTTATAATTTCATTACAATTTATATATTTATTATATGTACAATACTATTAATTCATGCATTTGTTTAATAAAGAAAATTTTATTGTAAGAAAATAGAATGTAGAAAATTCAAAGTTTTAAACTCATGATACCTAAGAAAACCACTAGGAGTTGGAAGAAGATAGTGAGTGTATAAAACATTAAGGACAAATATTCAAATTTTGATTTGTGTAATCTTCAGGAAAGAAAGTTTCAGAGAATTATCTCTTCTGTACAACAGAAATACTCACTTTTACCTCACAAGTTAATCTTAGAATCATACAGTAGAATAAAAGCATTTAATAATGAATTTTAAATTTTAATCAAATTAAAAAATGTATTTCCAATCTTTTACTCTTCTTTATGAAATTTATACCAGCTTTATATAATAATTATACATGTTATTTTAATTTAGACAGACATGCTAAATCAAAAAGCACCAAATATTATGAATTATAACTCTATTTTATCTTGCTTTTCTCTGATATTATAAATTAATATATACATTTTGATAGTTTGGTGGAATCTTGAATATACCCAGAAATGTAGGGACAACAATAATCATGATATTTATTATAGCTCACATTTATCCAATACTGATTTAAGTCATATGTGTGTGTGTGTGCGTGTGTGTGTGTATTACAATTTTTTATGTATAAGTCTAAATCCACAAAACTTCTCTAAACACTGCCAATATTTTTACATTTTCATGTGTTCCCGAAAGTTTACAATATTCATTTACAACTATTCTAGGCCAGTTTTAAATAATACAATACCACTTCACAGTGGTGCAGACACTATAATAGTTGTTCAGATTCATAGCCCCTATGCCTTGTATTGTTTTTGCCTGTTGCCTACTTATTCTATTGTAGCTCTTCTCCACCTATCAAAAAGTGCTTTGAGTTTCTTGCCTGACTATTCCAAATTTTATGTCATAGGTTTATGTAGTTCTGACACTTTCTCCAATCCTTTTGATTGTTTATTTTTCTGTTTAGCATAGCTTGAATTTTTAACTGATAGTCTGCATTACATATGGAGTAATAGAAACTGAGGGTAAAGTATGAGATTTTAATTAAATATGAGGTTTTAATTAAAGACAACTAGGAATTAAGCTGTATTTAATATATGCTCTAATTGTTGAAGTGCGAGGTTTCCTCTTTGTTAAATAGGCTGCGCCTTTCCGCTGCCTTAGCTGTAATCTATCCCTGTTAAGGTGGAGCCCTGCTAATGTTGTGGCAAAATGCACGGGAATGAAACTGCTCTGTAATCTTACCATTAAACTCAGACATAGTGGGTTAGTGTCCCTGAACCTTTGCACTTGTGTCTACACTTCCCCTAACACTTTTGGTAAAACAGGACAGCCAGAAAGGCTGGAGTTGGGGCAATGCCTTTTGCTAGGCAAGAAAAAGACCCCAGATGTGTTCCCTGTAGACATGGCTAGCAGTTGGGGTTTATGGCAAAGGGTTGTCTTCCTTGTCCCCGTCACCATCATAAGCTTTGTCTCCCTTGTCAATTTGCCTCATTGTTTCCGAAGCTGAAATCCATGGAAATGTGGAGCCGCACACCTGAGGCTGTGTAGCTCAGATTCTCACTCTCCTGCTACTCTGTTCTTAGACCCTAACAATTTTCTTTTAAAGAGTTAAAAAATGTCTTTCATTTAAAAATTAAAAGTTTAATTGCTTCTACCAGTTCATGGTACAAATGACTTTTATTCCATGTAAGGAATGCATATTTTGGACTCCAAATTCATCTATTTCCCCAGTCTTGAGATGAGGTATTTATCCTACAGCTTTAGATCTGTGATGTGTTCATGAAAAGTTAGTCTTTCAATGTTTCAGTTTCCCCTTGTAAGCATGACAATGATGACTTTTTTTCCCCTCCAGGGCTGAAATTGGCAGTCTAACTTTTAAAATTTCAAAATATTTGTATCCTACAACTAACAAAAAAAGAAGTTAAATAATTTGTCCATGGTTTCAATGTTGGTAATTTGTAAAACTGAGACTTTTAATTAGATCCTAAAATTTCTCTGTCTCAAGCGTTATGATTTGGATACCTTATAAAAAGAAGAACTTTTAAATGGCTCTGTACATGTGTTACTATGGGTTACTATGGGGGTCTTGACATGTTCTTAGGTTTGTGTGCACAATGAATAAATAAATGGTATGTGACAATAGTGAAAACAGGCAAAAAAGTTCTTCAGGTGATGGTATGCTCAGAGTGAGCAGGTTTACACCTACTAAAGGACCATGGCACCAGCAATGACAGCATAAGATGTAAGGGTTTAAAATTCTGCACTTGTTTGGGGGTGCTTCCTGTTGGAGTCTTCAGAGCATGAATGACATCATGATGGACAAGGAGCTGAATCATGCCTGCTTCATTTAATATAAATATCCCTGACCATAATTCACTCTTACAATTGATTATTTGAGACACAGTCCAAATGCATGACTCTTAAAGAAGCACTAGGTGGAGAAAAGTTACTACAGGTCACTGGTGGGTGCATATGCATCTTGGATTTGGATTTTGGAATTTTGCAAGGCAGGCTCAAAGGTCTTTGTTTTTCTTACCTTGGACTATGTGTAGTAAGCCTTAGGATGGTAGGTGTGGTCCTGGGCTGTTGCTCAGGTTCAGGTGAGTGAAGGGGAGTGGTCTGATAGCCTCAGTTATACTACCTGTATTACAGACATCACAACCTTCTTTACTTAATTAGTACTACGGGCATGCCAAAGCATTCCAACCCAGACAAAGAGCAAGACTAATTAGTGGTAAGGGATGGAAGCTCATCAACTAGTTTTAAAGTTTTACTGAGCTGGGTAAAGGGCCACTCAAAGGTCAAATGATGCTGACCTCAGTCCCACACATGGAAAGAGAGCTGCACAGAATAGTGAAAGAGGTCATCAATGATAATAAGTATAGAGAAGCTAAGGTTCGGGACTAAATCATACAGAGTGATGCGTTGCAGAATTTCTGAAAAGGCAATTAAATTTGAAGTACCTCTAATTAACTGCAGGGGTGAAAAGGAGCCATAGAAAGATAGTGGAGGAGGAATAAATCATGGGTCTCTAAGAAAAACATTGTTTTCTTCATTAAAATTCTTTTACTTAAGTATCTTTCTGTAGAATCATAAGGATGGCAGAAGCAACCTAATTAAAAATTTGCACATTACCTATTAGTCATTTTTCAATCACATTATATAATGCCCTTGGAAAAGAAACTTTTGATAATGAATGTATTTTAACAATTAAAGCAACCCAGAACTTACTTTGATTTACAATGAAAAAACCATACTTGACAATGCAAGTACAACTACTTGATTTGCAATCCCTAAAACATTTTCAATCACTCTATTTTCTTTAGTGCTACTTTCTATGCTGAAATTGGGTGCATTTTTATCAGAAAAGCTTGTTAAATGTAACTTTAGATTATGATTAATATAAGCAAAAGGAGTCTATTTAAAAATGTAGGATTACTCTCATTTCTATTACATTCCTATTTGAAAAGGCTTCTGTATCACCAGGAGATGGTAAAAATATTAAGGATTGAAATTATACATAATAATTAAAAACTGCACTAATTTTTTGAAATATGCTTCAATTTTGAAAGGCTTATAGAATTCATCTGAAATCACAGTGATTTAAAAAGCATTTTTGCACAAGGGAACAAATTGTCTACCTTCTACTCTTACATTTTAAAGAGAATATTTAAGATTCTAATCAAAATATTAATGAATTAATATTATTAAATTCATTTGTATAATTTCACAAATGAGCAATACTTTGAAGAGTTGAAGTTTAATGTAACTATTCTTTTTGCATAGTAAAAAATCAATTAAGCTTATGCTGAGTCAAGAGAATCTATTTTTTTTAAATAAAAGCTTTAAGCATGATAATCTTGAAATATTGCTGGGATTACAGCAGTCAGAAACACTGCTTATGGAAAGTCAATTTAAGGAGCACAGAGGCTTTTCATGAGTGGAATAGCAAGGGATGGAATTTTAAAAAGAACTGTGATTGACAGTCCAAAGATACCTAGAATGTACCAATAAACTCAATAAAAAGAAAAAAAAAAGACAGGGCTGCTAGATCTGGCTTAATCACCACCTTGGTGTTTACTATTAAGAACAGGACTTTATGTTTGAAAGCAATTTTTTCCCATGTGCAAGATAACAATAATGATAATTAAAAGACTTATTATTTATATTCCGTATTTTTAAATATCTGTGACTATACAGGAAGATCCAAGAGTTAAATTTTATCAATTCATGGGTCATGGTTAATGGCATCATAGAGATTAAGGTCAAAGGATTAGTGATGAACCATGTTCTAGGAGTTATGTATGCTAGAATGCGTTAAAGTGTAGTCCCACATTTCAGTGTTACAAAGGTCTTTCAGGACCAGTTTCATTCTTAATAGAATCAATTAAAAAATTAGCTATCTATAATGAGGGACAAAAATTCATGCTACTAGCTTACAATTACACATTTTTATGTTTTTATTAATGTGTTGTTCACATTAAAATAATCTTAGGCCATTGTGCAAAAGTGCCCTTTAAGAGTAGGACTTTTTTTTTTCCTTGCTTTTTTTTTTTTTTTTTTTGAGAAAGGGTCTCCCTATATAGTTGAGAATGACCTGGAACTCACTATGTAGTCCAGGCTGGTCTCAAACTCACAGTGATCCTCCTGCCTCAGCCTCCTGAGTGCTGGTATTACAGGCATGTGCCACCATGCCCAG